AAATTAAGTAGCAGCAGAAACTAAAGTGTAAGGTCGTTCCTGGGAGAGTTAAAGGCTTTTCTCTATTGTGTGTGTGTGTGTGTGTGTGTGTGTGTGTGTGTGTGTGTGTGTGTGTGTGTGTGTGTGTGTGTGTGTGTGTCTATGTCTACTACTCCTTTAACATAAGTCTCTGCATGCACTGAAATGTGGTATCTGTCATTCTCAGGAGTAAGCTGGGAATAAGATGGACTGTAACAAAAGTTTCCAATGAAATTTTCTGAGTATCTACTATGTCCTCAGTACTTGGGTCAGTGGATAAGGCCAAATCCATATGAGTGGCCATATTTCTGCACTTGGTAGGCACCCCAAAATGCTCTTGTCTTTAGGGTTGGAGTTACAAGGCCTTCATGATGCCAAATTAATGGCACCTGCTTAAAAGGCAAGACACCCCCCCCTCCCCAGATGATATAGTAAATCATCTCTGAGACTGTTGAATTGTGATTAAAGGGAAGGGCAGGATATGACTGGTCAGAAAAAGGAAGAGGTGCAGATTAAGGGCTTTTATGCATTGGGATAATAGGTTTTCTCAGATGTCAGCTATTCAACTGAGCATGGGCCTAGCACCGAGGAAACCATCAGTGCTATGATCCCTTGGCTCAGGGCTTCCCCAGTAGCAGTCCTTTCAGATTTTGGCATGTTTCCTAGGCTCAACACTCCAGTTTGAGGGAAGTACTTGACAGTTCTCCTTCAATAATGGCTGAATTAGTATTACAGTAATCTCTCCTTATCTTCCATTTTACTTTCCATGAGTTCAGTACCTTGCATCTGTTGTCCAAAACAGTTAAATGAAAAATCTCAGAAGTAAGTGATTGATAAATTTCAAGTTTCATGCTGGTCTGGTAATGTGAAAAAATTGTACATTGTCATGGGATCTTCCCATACCTTTATTTATTATATCCATACTGTATACACTGTACACATGTTATTCACTTAGTAAATATCTCAGTAATCAGATTAAGAGATCACAATGCTTATGGTCAGGTAATTCCTATTTTCAAAATACAAGACTAGTTATGCTTGATAGTTATAATTGTTCTATGATATTAGTAATTATTGACCTTAATCTCTATAATTTGTCATAAGTATGTACATGTAGGAAAAAACAGCATAAAAGTTTATACTACTTATGATTTCAAGCAACCACTGAGTTCTTTGAATGTATCTCCTGTTACTAAGAAGGGGCTGGCTGTACTTCATACCACTTGCTTCAAGGTATAAAGAACAGAAAAGAATAGCTACTAATTAGGTTGGGAGTCTGAAGGTTTGGTTGGCAGCATCTGGTACTTGTCCTATGAATAGGACGATGCACCTTGTTGACTGTCCACCTTGTTGACTGTCCAACATGTTTATAAAGAATACCTACATCAAGCTCTGCCCTCTCGAGGCTAAAACATGTAAAGCAGTCCTGACCCATGGCTTTGGAGGTAAATAATAAACACAACTGTACCACTGTAATTCTCCTTAAGCTACGGGAGTGAGTTCTGTGTCTCCTTTGGAATACATAACAGTCATTAGAAGAGAAGCAGAGAGCCAAGAAAAGAAAGAATTGAGCACCTTTGGGTTTGCTAAAGCTTTCCTACAAATACCAAAGCACTCAATAGAAAAGATCTGGGTTCAAATCTTGGCTCCCTGATCTGATAGCTTCATAGTGTTGGCTGAATGATTTGACCTTTTTTTTCTTATTTCTTCACTGGTAAAAGGAGAACATAATTTTTATCTTGTGAGTCAGTTGAGAGGATCAAGTGAGATGGTATACACAAAACATTTTTGTATGTGTAAAACGCTCCAAGAGCTTAAAACCAAACCATTGTTTTTCTTCATTTATTTCATGCTTCTTCTGCTTCCTGGGAATAGTTTGCAGCAGGTATTTGCTTCTCTGTTTTGGGCTACAGCCTACTGGCTGTAACTGTGATTCTTCTCATGGACAGGCTTATACTCAGGAACAGTAGTGATGCTATTTCTTTAGTATTTGATTTATTCCTGAAAACCTTGTGTTTTCTCTTACCTCTCTTCAACACAAATAGCACAGAGCAGGATTTCAGAAAACAGAAGAAAAGGAAAGAGCCAGGAGCCCTGTGGCCACGGCACTTGTTATTTGTTATTTGTAAAGGCAACTTTTGTGGCAGGATCCCAGGTATTGGCATTTCACAGCTTTGGGCTTCGGTTTTTGACAGCCTTACTTATTATTTAAGTGACCTGTGGCCAGTCACTTTCCTCATCTTCAAAACTTGAGTTAAAAATATCATACTGAAGACCAAGGATAATGTGTGTAGCAACCTCATAGGCTCTCAGCCTGTGTGCTTTGCCATTTTACATGTGTGAGTCTTTAGGTGATACCATCTCTTTTTGGGTGGCCAAATTGACTTAGATGATTTGTTTTATGGAGGTTGAAACCTGGACTTATCTCCCCCATTGTCCTGTGCAACTTTGTGATTGTACAGTGGTTAACATCCCAAAGGGAATAAGGAAAACCAGAGCTTTCTTGAACAAATTTACTTTTGGTTTAACTAGATAGTACTTGAGTTCTATGGAGTTTTAAGTATGCTCAATGGGCCTTTGGGAGGTTGGGAGTCTTACTGTTTTCAGGAAAAATGCAGAATTCTTTGTAGCGTCTCAGGTAAGGAAGAGTAATGTTTCATGCAGCCCTGTGCAGGATGGCTGTGGCAACATCTGGATGAATGGCCTCCTTGTTTCTGGAGAATGGGGCTTAGTCTGTTCTCCATGTTCAGACCCTCTCATTCTCTCTCCATTTCTGTCTTTCTCACTGAATCTCTGGGACAGACATTATTATAGTATGAATCAGAAGGCTCCAAAGATGCCTTTCAATTTATTCTATTTTTTTGCCTATCCTTCCAATTTTATCCAAAAGGAGCAGTACTTTGTGCATTTCTTTTGAAGAGCCTAAATCCTATGGAACCCAGCTCCTTACTCTCTTTGACAGGGATGTGGTAAGCTTAGCATTTTTAAATAGAGTTTTGTGTTACAAGGATTTGCTTCTGTACCTAGTCTTTGGGTGGTAGTCATTTATAAAATGTAGGAGCTGAAAAGTAACCTCTAATTACATATTTGCATACTTCTCCTCAGCCTTCTGGGTCTTACCACTCGAAAATAAGTGAATCAGTATTAGTGAAACTAACAGTTTGATGAGCTTACTTTTTTCTTTTAGGAAATAGTAAAACTGTGGCACAGAGCCATGTGGTCATTGGTTCAGAGGGTTTGCACCAAAGGGAATGTGAGCACCTACCTCCTGATGTTGGGAGAGGATTAATGGAGTCAGTATATGTAAAGTACTCAGAATAACACTTGGCACTCACTGAATGTTATAGGATATAATCCCATCTGCTCTTGGGTAGTGTCTCCTAGTGGCCCTAAGAAGCAACCCTTTACAAGTACCAGCATCAATTCAGGAAGAAGTCACTCTTAGAAGACTACATATTATTTGATTCCATTATATGAAATGTATAGAATAGGCAATATTTTAGAAACAAGAAACTGGTTAGTGGGCTGGGAAGGTGGCTCAGTGGTAGAGTGCTTGCCTTGCATGCATGAGGCTCTGGGTTTGATTCCTTAGCACCACATAAACAAAAAGAAAAAAGCCAGAAGTGGTGCTGTGGCTCAAAGTGGTAGAGCACTAGCCTTGAGCTGAAGAGCTGAGGGACAGCGCCCAGGCCCAGAGTTCAGGCCCCACAACTGATAAAAAAAAAAAAAAGAAAGAAAGAAAGAAAGAAAGAAACTGGTTAGTGATTGCCTGGAACTAGTGGGGAGGTTGGGAGTGAGAGGTCCAAGGTATAGGGTTTCTTTTTGGGATGATGAAGGTCTAAAATTGACTGTGGTATTGCCTGAAAAATTCTGTGTATACAGTAAACCCCACCAAATTATGTATCTTAAATGGGTGGATTATATGGTGTGTGGATTGTACCTTAATAATTCTGTTAAAAATAAAATATATATATTCAGAATCTAGTGACCAAACATCATGCAATTGGCACTTATTTCCTGGACCATTCATTTCAGAATCCTGACTGGCCTTCCTGATTGCACACCTGCCTCAGCTTTTCATTCTTCACAGAACACCATAGCAATCCTGTATTGTAGAGCAAACTATGGCATGCGTCTGCCTAGTCTGTTCTACCATCTTCCCACTGTGTTCAGTCAGCAAAGGAAACAATCTTAGTACGATGTCATGGTCCTATACAATCTGATCCCAGAATCATCTTCACATTTCAATCTTCAATGCTCTCCTATTTACTTACTACTTTTAACCACCGTGACCTTCTTGTTCTTCCACATGCCATGAGGTATTGTTCCTGGCTGCCTCAGCAGTTTTCTACTTGTCCTTCATGGTACACAGAATTTAACCCCCACATCTTCTTATAGCTCATTCCTTTGTATCATTATATTGAAAATAGTTCCTCCCCCATTAATCTCTTGTCAATAATTTGTTTTATTTTCTTCATAGTATTTATTACTATTTGAGTTTACATTTTTATTTGTTTATTCCCTTGCCTACCAGAAGGTTCCTCTATAAGAATTCAAGTTCTATAAGAACAGGGAGTTTGTTTTGTTCACCACCATATTGCTCAGGCCTAGAGCAATGCTCTGCATTCAGTGTTTGTTGAATGAATAAGTGAAGCCACCAGTTAGACTGAAGACACAAAGATACAACCACGTAGGTACTCATTCTTTATGTATACTTTCTATTTTAACGTCACTATTTGGAGTACCTCATATATTTAAAAACTTGGGCTAAAATTCTTAAGACGAAGCTTTCTAATTTGGCATATTACCATTGACAAGTAAATGCTTTGACTCTTTTTATGAAAGTCTATGAAAACATAAAGGATTTCAGAGTCTGCCTTAGTCAATAATTCCTGCTTTGAAGGTCAGCCAAAGGTATTCCAGGGGCATAAAGAAGAGATCTAGCTTTAATACCGTGTGCTTTTATGCTCAGTTTTACTTACAGTGTGGACTTTCTCGGGCCCCTGTCTTCAGAAGAATCTTAGCAATTGGGACATTGTTGGTCATGATGGCAATATCCAGAGGTGTTAGCCCCTCGCTGTTGGGTGTGTTGAGGTCTAATTCTTCTGGTGTGTACTGATAAAGGAGGAGCTGTACAGCATCCATGTCCTGTTGTTCAACAGCCTCAAACATGGCTTCATTACCCTGGAAATTCTGGAGGAGAAAAGTGAGAGCAGGTTAGCTTAATGTTATATGTCATCATCTCTAAATGCACAGCTATTTTGAATTTTAGAGATTGCTTTAGATACTTCTAAGGGGATAATTGTATAACTCCAGTTTCTCCCCAGGCTTCCAATAGAAAGACTGTATTGGCCCTTTTCTCCATTCTTTCTAATGGCCATTGGTAGCCTTATGTGAACTGAGATAATGCAGTTCTGTGTAGTGTGGCCAAGTTTATGAGTAACACATACACACAAATCTCAAACCCATCCTCCAAGGAAGGTGTACTGTTTTTGATAGGCCATTGAAAATGCTGCATGTAGAAAGCAGCAAGAAATCAAATAACTACTGTAAACATTGGATTAAACTAAGTTATTCCATTATTTACTATGGGGTCTCTCAGGGCTTTTAATCATGCTAGTGTATGTTATGTTGTTTTTTCATTTTACTCCTAGCATAGTGTCTATAGAACAGTTTGGGAAATGCTGACATAGACAATGCTAGTGTAGGTAGTTTTGATTATGACTAGCTTTGTATTAAGAGTACACTTTCTCTCTTTCTCTCAATATTTCCCCTCACATGCTCACATGTTTTAATCCCTTTTCAGGATCTTGGTCATTTGCCAGTTGCTAGCTTGGTCTCCTCCAGCCCAGACTTCAGATGTTATAAGAGTAATCTTCCTAAAAATATATGTTACATGCCATTTCCCTATTCATGTATCTCTGATATTTCCACTCTACCTATGAATTTATGCCTACATTCCTACACCCTTTGGTATGCTAATCCTATTCTTTCTAAGCCCAGAGCCTTAACTGTTGGACATCTGACATTTCTGAGTCCTGAGGGGAAGGGCATAAGTGGCAGTGTTCTGAGGATTTCAGTAGCTGAGTGGCTAATTACTTTTAGACCAGAAGATCTAGAAGTTAAGTACTTATTAAGTAAAACGTCACCTATAGAAAAAAAGATCGTTATGGCCAATATGATTCTTTAGAAACATTCTGTCAAAAGGGCAGTAGTAAACAACAGCAACAACAAAAAGAGCTCTGAAATCCTCACAAACACATATTTCTATAGCTCATGGAAAAAGACAAACACATATATTACTGGCATACTCTGTTATTTTCTCTGAGAGTCACATAGCCTTAAACAGTATTGAAATTTCATTATCTTTGACCTAGAATTGGGGTCATCTTATTAGCATGTGGAAGATCAAATGTTTAAGCAGGCAGGTTTCTTTTATTTTTGTCTGTCATGGGATTTGCACTCAAGGCCTGGGTGCTGTCCCTGAGCTCTTCTGCTCAAAACTACTGCTCTACTACTTTGAGCCATAGTACCACTTCTGGTTTTCTAGTGGTTAACTGGAAATAAGAGTCTCACAGACTTTTCTGCTGGGCCTGGCTCTGAACCATGGTCCTCAGATCTCAGCCTCCTGAGTAGCTAAGATTACAGGTATGAGCTACCAGTGCCAGCCTTACTGGTATTATTTTTAATCTCATCTAAATTGATTTTCCCAGTGCAAGGCTACTGGTTAGATTTAGCCAAGTACATAACACAAAGTAGGAATCTGAAGAAAATATGAAATTATTATGCAAATGGTTGTTTTGCCAACAGGGACCTAGGAGATAGAGTTATTTAGGTATACAGTTCTCTTTGCTGCAAGTCTGCTGACTGGAAAACTGTTTTGTCTCAGTCCACTAAACTAAAGGGCCTCTGATGCTTAGGCCAAAATTTAAACACAGTCAAGCCCTCCCAGAAGATAAATTTGAATGACAAAACAAATGAATTCAGAGTTAAAATGCTGCCCTGTTCACGTGTATATTTGTTTTTGATTCTTGATATTTCTAATTTCCTGTGTGCTGTATTTACTCACTCTCTTAAGACATTTTCTCTTCACTGTTTCTTTTGGCAAACCTTACCTTGCTTCTATATTAGAAAGGGCACAACTCACTTCTGTTTTAAGCTGGAAAAAAAATAGACCTATTACGTCTTGCAAAAATACCGTATCTTACTGAGCATGTGAACATTATGCTCTCAGCTTTTATGAGGGGCCAGTATAGATAACCACAGAGCATCTGTAATATACTCCTCAGGCTATTTGCTGTTGCCTAGTTTACTATGGCAGCTATACTGAGCAATAGTCCATCTCCTGATAGACTGATATACTTTCAGTTAACACCTAATGGAATGTTATAACCAATTATATTTCTTTTTCTATTTTGACTGCCTAGAAATTTAAATGAACTCAGTCATAAGTTTTAGGCATTATTTGTCTAAGATGTTGTATATATTTATCTTTTCATTCTCACTATATTTTAATTTTTGTAGTATTTTTCCTTTCCTTACTTTTTTTCCAAAGCCATTATATAATAAATATACAGTCTTCTCTTAGATTTTAATGTGAATGCCTTTGAAAAACATGTGGACTACACACTATAAATAAGTAAATAATAATATCATTGGAATGAAAGAAACAATTATCGAAGCTCTCAGAGAGCCTACTTAATCTGAACTCTAAAGTTTTTCCAATCTGCTACACTTGATTTCTTTGGTCTAGAAGAGAAAGAAATGTTAAAACAAAAGAAATTAAGAAAAAGAAAGGTACAAGTCTGGCAACTACTCAAGTATTGTCTAACATCATAGATAGATACAGTTTCTTCCTTGCTAGAATTTATTTATACAAATATGAAACATCTATAGAACTCTAAAAACATTAGCTTTGAGAATTAATATGGACCATCTTAGATTTTCCTTAAACCTAAGCATAACTGCACAAACTGAATGGACATAGAAAATGTGTTACCACGGAGGTTTTTCTGAGACTCAGCCGGTCAGATCTTGTTCTAAAATAGGCCTCATCAAACGAAGAATGGCTTCCTTTCAGCTTCTCTGATAGATTCCTGTACAGGCGTTTTGCAGCATTGGGAGATGATGGGGCATTGTGTTTTTTTGACTGAGAAAGATGCAAATTCTGCATTTGTTGTGTCATTTTCACACAATAGTTCCTAAAGAGAAGAAAATTGGATATACAGTTTACATAGCAGAATTATATTTTGACGAAGAATTCCATCATGTCCATCAAGAAATCTTATATGATATTCACACTGAAAGTGGCCTCTGAGATCATCAGTCCCAGCTTTGCCATGTTGTAGGTGGGAATGCGGAAATCCAGGGAGAAGAAGCAGCTTATTTATGGATGCATGGTAGCAGAAATGAAATGACAGCTTCCGTTTCCATTAATGCATGTTCATCACACACACACACACACACACACACACACACACACACACACACACACACACACACACACACACACACACACACACACAATTAACCTTCAATCAAAGCCTTTGGCCTGTTACCTTGTTATGGAAGTGGCTTAGTTCTACAGCCTAATGGATGTGTTCATTTACTCTTAAGTGTACGTAATTGGGACTTTCCTACTTACTTCCTCCTAGTGCTGCCCTCTACTGGGTGGATAAGAAAGTATGGCTTCTCCCTGCACTCCTCCCCTCTTAACTTATCTTTGGTAACTGTCAAATTGTGAAGTTAATTGTGTTCATTTGACTAACTATTCAAGCATGCACATATCGGAGGATTTGTGTCAATAGAATGATCTTTGCTCATAGACTATTATCCTGAATAGGGGTTTCTGGGCACTCATGATTGGCATTCAAGTAGAACTCTACTGCTGTTTCTAGAATCTAACCTGTATCCATGTCACAGTTGAAGTCAGGAGTTCAGCAGTGTCATTTCAAAAGCCATTCACCATTACTTTATGTATTGCTATTGAAATATGTATGCTACTAGAACTGTGACTGCATGGCATGTGTACATATATTAGATGAACAAATACATGTATGGAATAACTTGCTTTAGGCACGCGTGTACAAGGAACATTCATCTCTGCACTGGGCCCAGAGTATTTGGAACATACTACTGCTTTCCTACCACCATCATACTTTGAATGGAGTGAAGTAGTTTTCCGCTTGTGATGCTGCTGTTACTATTTAGCTGTGACCTTTAGATCATCTCTAATTCTTGGGTTTTGACAACCTTACAGACTCTATGAAATAAAATGATGTAGAACCTCTTTAATTGGTCAAACACTTCACTGAATGAATTTCAGCGACTCTCATTCCTATAAGGTAAAATCTAAATTCTTTAGCCTCATCTATAAGTACTTATCTCATCTTTTTCTGGGCTTCCTCATTTCAGTTTTTACTAAATAGTTCAAAGGTTTTCTTCTTTTGCATGTTTTACCCTGTATGTGCTAAAATTCCATATCTGGTTCTATTACCTTAGGAATGATTATTGGTCCTTAAAGTCAATACTTAAGGGGTTTCTGATGTCCTTGGGCAAATTTATGTATTTCTTTAGTTTTTCACAAAGTATATGCCTTTGTAACAAATACCTTATTGTATTATGGTTGTTTGACTTTCATTTAGCTATTCTATATTCTTGTCCAGAGCAAAGGCTTTCAAATCTGTATATATCCCTAGTGCCTAAAATCTGTCTGCCTCAAGGTAAAAGAAATAGGATAAAGAAACAGAATAAAGGGAAAGAAATTGGATATACATTCCTACTTTTTGTGTATCTTCGAAAAGTTATTTAACCTGTCTCACTTTTGTTCTTTATAAAGTTGGGATAATAATGGTATCTAAATATTGTTGTGAAAATTTGATATAATGATTCATGCTGTCTAAACTGTAAGAAGACTCATAGTAGTCAATGAATGTACATATGAGAATCTGTTACTTTTAATACAGCTGTTGTATACCTGAAAAGTTCATTGCTTTGTAATGTGTCTTAACTGGATTCCATGCCACACAGGCCTTGATTTGCTTTCACTTCAACAAATGGAGATCCTGCTTCATTACTTTGCTAAATGTCGTGAGGCATGTTTTGAGTTTTACGTGCAACTCCTGTAAAAGTAAAATACTTCCTTGTTGCTTTTTAGGTAGTCAGACCTAACCAGTCTTAGTCTTGCCATTCTGGCCCTATCCAGTCTTTGCTAAGTGGATGTGTTTATGATTGGAAGGATGCTGGGAGGCATTGCCTGTGCCAGGCGTGCGTGTCTGGGTGTGTTTTCATGATTGTTTCAGTAATAGTTTAATTTTCATAAAAGAAAAACAATTGAAAGAATAGGCAATTTGTTATCTTTTTCCTTCCATCTATGAATTTTTTTTACCTTTGATTCAGTAGCAGCTATAGGATTTTCTCTAATACATTTCTTTCCATGCCCATAAAAGTTCCAGATTCATATGCAAGCTGGTTCACATGGGTATTGCCTTAACCTCTTTCTTTCTGCCTTCTGTCTGTAGCCTTTTCCTTTAGCATTAATGTCCCAGTTCAAGCCATCTGTCTTGTCTACATCATTATTGTTCCCCAAATAACTTGACATTCTTTTGTATCTCCTCCAATGCCCAGGAGTCTAGAAAATAAATTCTTGTCGATTGATCAAATTCCAGTTACTTGCCCTCTAACTGATGACACCTACCCACATGGCCTCCTTTGTCTTTGCTCATCTCCCATCTGTTCCCTTCTGTCAAAATAGGTTGACTTTCTCTGTGTCTGTGACTTCCTTCTTATACTCCCCCAGCTGTCTCCTTCTTCCAAGAGATTCTTTAGCATGTTCTACTTTCCTAGCTTTTGTCTATTACTCTGTGTTCTTTTCTTCATAGAGAAATTTAAAATTTTATCAGAGAATAGTGAGAAAGACAATTTTATGTTGTCTATTCTTATAATTACAAATTAATCTCTCAAATCACTATACTTTTAATTTTTTATCCTTATCTACTTAGACAGACATTTGAGAATCATGGTAATGTTGGCTCTGGAATTTGGTGGATCCAGGCTTGGATCCTGATATTGTTACCTGTAATCTATGCGACTTGGGGAACCTTATTTAAGTCCTCTGAGTTTATTTAATCATATATAAATAAACAGTAATAGGACATTTTATAGAGAGCTGTGGTGAGTAAACCAACCAACAAATGATAAGTTCTATGTTATTTGGGATACTGTAACCACCCAGAAAATAGTAACAATTATAAAGATTGCTTTGTGTCTTCTTCACAAACCAGAGACAAGTATATTGTCATGATTTATTTTTCTTATTTGCTTTAAATGTTGTCTTGGAATCTTATCTTTTGTACTTATTGTATGATTTAATTTACATTATACTGGATGAATTTGAGTTTTAGATATTTTGGTACATATCTTTGCCATAGCCTATAGCAAAATGGAAATGGTAATAGGACTTCAGACTATCAGAAGGAAGGTTGGAATAAAGATAAATCCAAAAAAAATTTAAAATTACAGGTTGATCCATTGTGACAATGACAATATTTACAAGACATTATGTTGAAAAATGAACTTTACAATTTGGAGTGGGGGGAGTGTAGTTGTAGAGGTGGGAGGAAGGGATGGTAGGGGAAAAAAAGAAGAGGGGGCAACAATGCTTGATAAGAAATGTACTCTTTACCTTGCTCATGTAACTGTAACCCCTCTGTACAATAGTTTCACAATAAAAAAAACTTATTAAAAATAATTTAAAAATTAAGCGTAGCAAATGACAAATGTAAAATACATGAATAGGGCTAAGATTGAATACATCTCTGAACATAATATATTTAAATTTTGACTTCTTTTGCTGGGTGCCAGTGGCTCACACCTATAATCCTAGCTACTCAGGAGGCTGAGATCTGAGGATTGTGGTTCAGAGCCAGCCTAGGCAGAAAAGTCCACAAGACTCTTAATTCCAGTTAACCACCAGAAAACTGGACATGGTACTGTGGCTCAAGTGGTAGAGTGCTCACCTTGAGCTGAAGAGCTTAGGGACCGCGCCCAGGCCCAGAGTTCAAGCCTCACGACCAACTCCCCCCACCCCCCCCCCAAAAAAAAACAAAAAAACTTCTCAATAAAAGACAAAAGTTCTCCAATTGGAACTTTAAAAATGTTGTTTACAAGTTGGGTACTGGTGGCTGGCACCTGTAGTCTGTAATACTAGCTACTTAGGAGGCTGAGATCTAAGGATCCGATTCTAAATCAGCCCAGGTGCTCCAATTACCATAAAAAAGGGAGAATGAAGCTGTGGCTCAAGTGGTGGCTTAGGGACAGTACTCAGGCCCTGAGTTCAAGCCCAGGACCAGCACACACACACACACACACACACACACACACACACACACACACACACACACACGGTGGGGGGGGAGAGAAAACCCCCAAATATGTTTACAAATGATACACCTAGATAAGTATTTTACATAAAAATGAAAAATAAAATGATGGGTCGATAGTGGGAATGGCAAAGAAAGGACCTTCAAAATTCCCTTGCATCATAAAAACAAAGGGAACACTAGCAAATGCTGTCAGAATTAACTTCTCCTGAGTCATGGAAATCAGACAAAGTAGTATAGCTAGCGAGAAAATGTTTATTTGAGAAAAAGAACTGCATTCAGTGACAACATGAAGCTTTGTGGCATTTTATTTCACTCTGTTCCTATCTTTCCCAGCTCTGAGGTAGCCTTGAAAAATCAGAAAATCAGAAATACCCCATTAGATGGGGGCTGATGGGGATTATAATTCTTCAAAATTCTCTTTGGATAGAGCTACCATGATTTGATCTGTTTGTTCATTCCCTGGAGACTCAGTTCACAGGCTTCTTTATCTAACTTGGAGCCTCTCCAAAGCAAATGGCCTTTTTGTTTATTTGTTTTTATTGGAGTTTTTGTTCAAAACAAATATCAATAATTGTTTAACAAGTATTTAAGATTGTTCAAAAGTTTGGGAGATGAAGTCTTCATAGAGAACTTTGAAAAGCTCTGAAGTAGGAGGGAAGCTTGACACAGTGGTACAGTGTTTATCTGGCAAGTGCTAGGCTCTTGAGTTCAAACTCCACTACTACTGACCCCAGAAACTCTAAATAGTCCTGAAAACTTAGGTAATGTGGATGCCTAGTTCAATGCACATGGTAATAACTGAGATGATCTTTTTTGTT